GATAAAAATCTGCCCCTTTTCCCCAGTCACCTTTTCAGGCCTGCTCCAATGAGGAAGGGCTGCCCACCCAGGCCCAGTTAGAAGCTGTCAATTCCCCAGAGTGGCCTGAGGCAGAACAGTGTCCTCTGAGGACTCCTAGATCCGAGGTCTGATTCTCTTTCCTTGCCTTCCCACTCATCTGCTAAGCTTGTTTGTTGGGTACTACTAAGCCAAGTTAGTGGTTATTCCTGTCTTTAACCAGCAGGGGAGTTCTTTCCCCATCTTCACCCATTTCTGTGAGGCTCTTGGGGACTCTAGACCCTGCACTGAGAGTACTTCCCCAGGCTGGGCTGGCCCAGACAGTCAAAGGAGAGGACCAGGCTGTTTCTCAACCCAGCTGACACCTGGCAGCTGTGTGGCCTTAGGTAAGACAACTCTTAGGAGGTCAGACAGGATGATCTTAACTCTTCCAGCTGTGAATCGTGTGAGGCAATGAAGAAGAGAAAGTACATGAATGGGAAGGTGAAACTTGATTGTCCCTGTTTTGTGGATTCAGGAGAGGTCCTGTGACAAATCACTGGGGATGCACAAGGTAGGTGAAGACATCTGTAGAAACTTCTGGCTCTGGGGAGCCCACTTACTGATGATTAAATGGGTACCTTGTATGGTACACCTCTGTCAAAGTAATTCAAAATCCTGCTCATCAGTCAGACTGGGCTTGTCAGGAATCAGATTGAGTTGCCCAGCCTTAAATCCACTTAATTTCTTTTTATCTCTTCCTAGAAAAATAGTCTCTGGGAACCTCAACTTCTAAAATGAGTATATCAGTACACTTAGGAGCTTCACGTAGTCACATTATCTCTTGAACTGCATCCAGTGTGGTGGTAGAGAGCAAAACTAATGTTCTCCAAGGATTACTGTGGAGTTGAATTCTGCTCTGTGGCCTTTTACCACACTCTGGCTTACCAAAGGTCACCTGGCCTTGGCTACAAGGATACCTAGCCCAGTGCCTGGCCCATTTAGGCACACAGTAAATATTTGTTGAATGAATGTTGTCTGACATGTCCCTGAGTGTCTAGTTTTCTGTCCCTTCCTGTTCACCCCACAGCTAATGAATTATGATAGGTGACAAGCTCCCTAAAAACACTTGCAAAAGATGAGAAGTCAGGCCTGACAGATTAGGACATCTGGATCTACTGTGAATATCTGTACTTTGGGCTTCATAACCCTTTTCTTCCATCTCATTACGTCAGTTTTGTAGGAGTCAGGGAGCTGATTTTCATAACTCTTGGAGTTGTATGTATAATACTTTGTTGGGGTGAGTGGTGGAGGAATAGGAAGACAGTCTCACTAAGGGAATGTCTCTGGCTCAGCATATTAAAATATGGGGGGACATAATAGGATTTGAACTGGGCATTGGGGGGCACAAGACTTGAGAAGGAAGACTGAAAATAGAAATCCTCTCATGAGAAAGTGCACAATGATGGATGACCCAGGCTGTTCTGCTCCAAAGTTACTAAGCACCTAGAATCCATAAAGAAACTAGGAACAACTTTTTGGAGATGGCTGGCCTTTGGATCATTCCCCCAATCTGCCAACCTTTCTGCTGAAACATCAAAAAGACTTTTCTCTTTCCCTGAGTGAATACAATTGCTGGCTTCTACCCTGGCTCCACCCCCTTGGAACGGAAAACAGGGGCTAAAATGCTCAACAGGCCTCCTATTCATTCCCCTCTCCTTTTATGCTTCCCCTCACCCCCTTTGTAGGTACCTCCCACCCTCACTGTCCATTCTCCAACTGGGGAAACCTTGGTTGATAAGAAATTCTCTTTGGCCATTTTCAGTCTCCTATAGGAAGCAGCTGGCACAGAAAAAGCCTCCTTTCTAAACCCTTGCTTTTGCCTAACATCCCCTGGCTGCTGTCCCCGTATGACCCAAATAAACAGATGATCATGTGAAGCCAGTAAGGCTGTTTGTTTTAAATAGCAAGCATCTCCACTAAGCTCTGGAGCAGATGGGGTATTGGGTGTAACAGTGAGGCTGGCATTCAAGTCTGTTCACCCCAATTTTATCTCCTGCCTCCCCATCCCTGAAGGAAAAGGTGTCTTCAGAATACTGCTATTCAAAGAGGTGCCTACTTATGGTATAGAGCTGATCTCTGACAAGAGGAGTAAGAAAACTTGGACTGCAGCCTCAGCCTCTAGAAGTTGTGTGAGTGCCATGAACACCTGAGGAAGGCAGAAAGTTACGCTGGATGTAGGTCTCTGAGCAGTATGCTACAGTGTTGACCCCAGACAAAATGAGAACCTGGTCAACAGCATTATCTCAGGTCACTATTATGTATACTGTTTAGGGTCCCCTCACCACCACTTCCTCTATATTTCCTTTAAATTTCCCATTTTCTCAGGCCAGCCCGTGGCTCACTCGGGAGAGTGTGGTGCTAACACCAAGGCCACGGGTTCGGATCCCGTATAGGGATGGCTGGTTTGCTCACATGGGAGAGCATGGTGCTGACAACACCAAGTCAAGGGTTAAGATCCCGTTACCGGTCATCTTTTAAAAAAATAAATAAATTTCCCCTTTTCTCTAGTTGTGCAGAGTGGGCAAGGCCCAACCACACTGGTAGCAGGTGGCCGACAGCTTAAAGGAAGCAATGTCAGGGCCAGCACAGATCTAGCCCTACCATGGTGAGGAATCGGGCTGTGGCGCTCTAATGCCCCTTGGCTCCAGCTTCATCAGAAGCAAAGGCATCTGGACATGTGTGTGTAACGACCTCTCCATGCTCAGCCGCAGATACTGGGGCATTAAGTGCGCCAAGACCAGAGCCCCTTGTAGACTGAGGCTGCCAAACAGCCCCCTTCCTCCTGTTCATGAGGTTCTTGGTTTCCAGGATCTTCTGCGCAGGTTTTCTTTCCCTGGAATGCACTGTGATGCCCTCAAAGGAAAGGAGTAAAGACACCAAGCCTTCACTTGTACTAGCATTCTGTGCTCCTAGCTCTCCTCCAGCTAGTCCCTGAAATAGCAACATACCCCTCGGAAGGCACAGCATGGATGGGGTGGGGGGCTGCCTCTCAGCCATCCTCAAAATGGTTTGCTTTCTGGCTTTGTGTGGTGAAGCCCAGGCTTTGGGATCCTAAGTCTGGAGCCAATACTGAGAGGTCCTACACCTAGCATTAGACAGAAGTGGACATCCTACAGGGTGTCCCAAATACGCTTCCAGCCGGCCTGTGTCTGTCACTATCGACTGAACCAGTGGGGTTTGTGTGGCCTCCACCAAAGAACTGCAGGGTTGGGTTTCAGGTGGAGGAGATTTTTATTGCCCCAATCACAATGTGTTAAGTGGTCAGACTCCTTCCCCTGCTGGGAGTTTGATATTCCTTTCCTCCCTGTCTTTTATAAAATTAGGTGCCCTGCCCCAGAACTGCCTTCAGAGCCCTCTGTGGGGACAAATTCTCCTCCCTACGGGGCAAGGAGCAGTTGGAATACTGAATGACTTTAGACAAGTCCCTTCCCATCTCTGGGCCTCAGTTTGCTTATCTGTGAAGTGAGGGGATTTGGGCAAGCTGGCCTCAAACATCTAACTTTCTGATTGTACCCAGGGCGCCCCTAAAGACCAGCGCCAGCAAGAGGCGAGCAGGCGCGCCAGCGCGGGCTCCCCGCCCTAGCGGGAGCGCGGTTAAAGCCAGAAACAGCGGCCCCGCCCGTGGCCTCTGTCGCCCCGCCGCTGGGAGCGCCTGGCTTCCGCCCTCCACGTTGTGGTTCCTGATTTTGGCCACGCCCCTTGGCCTGGGTTGTGGACTCTTCGCTTTAGCCGCCCCCCGCCCCGGCCCCAGAGCAAAGGATGGCCTCTGGGCTGGCACAGTCGGAGTCTCCACCCAGATCAGACACGCGTGGACAAAGACGAGTTTAGGGGAAGGAAAGAGACACATTTGGTTTTAAATGGAGAGATATGAATAGTAAAGGCTAGGCCAGGGCACGACTACGGGATTCCCCTTTAGGGCTCCCACCCTACGTTCACCCAGCGGTCCCCGTCCGCACCCGCGAATGTAACCCCGCAGGCACTGGCCCTTTAAACAGAAGGCTGGCGGCGCGGGGTGTCCATGTGGAGCTGCTCCATGCCGTGTTGTCCTGCCCGCCCATTGGCCCGCGGCCCGATGACATCGCCTAATAGGATGCTAACGCACTGCGGGGGGAGGAACGGAGGAAAAACGCGGAGCCGGATCGCCACTCCGCTTCCTCCGCTATTCCTCCAGCAGTCTCCTGCTGTCAGCTCCGCCCAGGGGCGGGTCCCGGGGGAATTGCGACAGCCGGGTGGTTGCGGGATTTAGGTCGCGTGTGGGTGGGGAACGGAAGCCCAGGAGTCAGGCCAGTCCCTGTTATCTTAAGGTTTCCCTGACCTGGAATATCCGTATATGAGCTGATGTCTTGAATTTTCCACTCATTCTTCCCTCCAGCAGGACAGATTTCTCCGTGAATGACCCAAACACCCTGTCCCTGCTCAACTCGCGGCTTGCAGTCGGGGCGGGGCATGGCGAGAAAGCGGAAATAGGGCGCGCAAACCTGACCCGATCTCCTCCCACCCCCACCCGGGCCAAGTGTGCGCGCGCCGTCTGTGGTGGGCGGGGCCAGCCCGCGCAGGACCCCGCCCCTCCACCCGACAGACGCCGCGGCCCTGCGGGCGGGGGCTCCGGTCCAGGCTTTGGCTGCGGCCCCGGTGTAGTAGCGGGGGCGGCGGCCGGGGGCAGCGCGGCTCCTTCCCTTGTTGTGTGTGTCGGTGCCTCCTCGCCATCTTGTTGCAAAGCCCTTTCTTGTCGGCGGGACTCCCGGGGGCCGCGGGGCGGGAGGCATTAGAAAGGAGGAAGAGAGGGAGAGGAAAGAGGGAGGCAGCGCCGCTTTTTTTTTTGCATCCAATTTTTTTAAATTTGCAAATTTATCTTTTGCAAATATTTGGGGAGACATTGATTTTGCTCCCCGTTCCTCCCTGCGGAGTGCGCTGCGCTGCCCAGCCCTGTCGCCCCCCGGAACTGATCCCTCCCTCCTGCCTGCCCGCCAGCCTGACCTGTGCCTGGCTCGCGGGCCGCAGCCTCGGCCCCGGCGCGTCCCCGGCAGCTCTCGACGCGATGAGCATAGAGACGCTACTGGAGGCGGCCCGCTTCCTGGAATGGCAAGCGCAGCAACAACAGAGAGCACGTGGTGAGCGGCCGGGCCGGGCCCCTGGGGCACCGGGGAAGGGGAGGCGAGTGACCTCGGTTCCCGAACCCACGCGAAACCGCGGGCAGGCCCCCTTCCGAGCCCCCGCGAGCCGGGCAATGCACGGCTCCCCGCAAGAGTCGCCGCCCGGGGAGGCGTGATGTGGGCAGTAGAATTAATTAATGAATTCATTAACGCAGCGAGGGACCCGGCGCCTGCGGGCGCCACCTCAGCTACCTGGCACCCCCGTGCACTTTCTGTGGGGGACTCCTTTCGCGTGGGCCAGCGGCATCCTTGCTGGCGGTGAGGATGTGTGAGTCGGGGGCTGGGGTAAGGAATGATGTTGCTTGGGGGTGGCAGACCCGTGTGTGCGTGCGTGTGTGCACGGGGGATGTGTGATGTGAACCTCGGGGAGAGCGAATGAACGGACGTGTGCACGGGCGTGTGTAGAGCACACGAGTGGGCGTGTGTGTAACGGAGTGGGAGTGAGAATTACTCTACGCCGAGCTGCTCTCCGGCTTCCCTAGCCCCGTGGGGAGGGTGCGGGGGGCGCTCCTGGCAGATCTACACGCCGCTTGGGGCGGAGGCGGCCTTTGCAGAATGAAATGACATCGCGTGTCTTATGATCCTGGCCAGCCCCGCCTGACCCCGCCTCCCAGAGCTGGGCTGGGTCGCGCGTCAGGGGTTTGGGTGAGAGCCGGGCTAATTGGGAGTCTGAGAAATGGCCCGCGGGCCGCTGGGGACAGCCCCCGGGACCCCTCGCTGCGCCCCGCTTTAGCCGGTGTGGAATGTGGCGTGTCTGCGCGTTCCAAACCCGCTCTCGGCTGGAATGTTGCGTGTGCCTGCGTTCCAAGCCCGTTGGTTACACCGGGTGGTGACGTGGCCGGGCCCCGCCCCCGACCACGTGCACCGGGGACACTCCCGCTGGGGACGGCCCGGCCCGGCCCCTCCTCCTCGCCTCGCAATCGGCCGGGGGCGGGGCCGGCGAGGGGCCTTACGTCGGGTTGGGCCGGAGCTCGAGCCCTGACCTCTGGGCAGCTCCCAGGGAGAGAGCCTTTGCCCTGCGAAAGAGGAGCCGAGTCCACCTGTCCGTTCTAACCCCAAACCTCCTGGTTTTGAACCTGAGGCTAGGGAAACCCTCAGAATCTCAGGGCGACAAGACATTTAGAGCTCACATCTTCCCACTGACCCCCAAAACGTTCTCTCCAGGCCCTCTTGACAACACCCCTGGCAACACTGGAATAAGCCTGGCTGAGAAGAGGCAAACTTTGGTGTTCCTTCGACAGGGAGGAGATGAGGATTTTCATGCTGCCTATCCCCATGCGTCCTAGCTGGTGGTCCCTAGCTGCAGGGTGCTGCAGAAATGGGGACTGGGGGAAAAGACCTCCGTTTTCCAGACTGCTGCGAGAGCCTCAGCCCTGGAACGGTGTGTGTGCAGTTCCCGGGGATTCCTTTGCCCTCCCTGCCGCCCCAGAACCCCTCGGCAGGGCTGGTTGTGGTGGAGAGAGTGCTTCGCCCTCCTTTCCTTTCTCTCTGCCTATTGTTGCTTCAATGATGAGTCATGCAGGAGGTAGTAGTGTGTGTTGTGTGCGCGCGCGCGCCTGCAGCGTGTGCCGCCGCGGCGGCGGCGGGCAAGGGGCGGGGGAGTTGCGGGTTCGCCGGCTTACTCGGGTCGGGCCGACTGGCCTCTCAAGGTCAAGAGTCACTAGAGATATGTGAGACCCAGATACTAGGGTTTTGCAGAACTGGTCGGCTGAGACATCCGCCCAAATACCCCTCCCCCTTGTTTTTGGGGTCCAGAGCAGGGTCAGGCAATGGACAGTGTTGGTGGTGACCGGGAATGTCCTGCGTGCGGGTCCGGTAGCGGGGGGTGGGGGGTGGGGGCGGGGGAGGAGGGGAAGAGTGCACAAGGTTTGGAGAGACTGAATCACCTGCTGCCACTATTAACACAATGAAATTCAAGAACACCTATTGTGTCCCCACTGTGTACCAGGCACTGTGCTAGAGGTGATGAGGATCGACCCAGCTATTGCCGCCAGAAAACGCTCACTTCACCCTCTCCTTACCTTCAGGCTGGTCGGCCACATGGGGAAGGGAGAAAGAGTCCCACTGTCATTCTTCCCACTCTTTCCCAAATAAGTAAGCCCAGAGCTGACCAGCTAGATAGAAGGGGTAGATCTATGCAGCACTGTGAAGAAACCCAGGAAAGGTCCTCTCCTAAGAAGCTGCCCAGCCAGAGCTTCTTGGTGCTGGGTCGGGGGTCTTCGGGGATGGGTGGGTGCAGGAAAGCCAGATCCACTCCAAAAACTAATGTACAGATGGCTAGACCCAGTCCCAGCAGTTCAATCTCCAGAATTTATTTTCTTCTCCCTCCTGAGCTTCTGTCCTTTGATCTGGTGCAGGAAGAATGGGAGAGAAGGGGGTGGCACGTGAACCTGCTGACCAGAACTGCATTCTTGGGGTATTTACCTGATGGTCAGCTCTGAACAGGGGTCCTCTTGTCTATTCCCCCTTTCAACCTCAATGGTGGGTCTCCTGACCTACACCAGCAGTTTGCCCACATGATGAACCTGAGGATGTGCGTGCAGGTGAGTGTGTGAGAGAGGGAAGAGAGGGAAAGGGCAAAGCCATTCTGGTGCTTAGCAGGAGGGCCTGGCCTGGTCATTTCTAGGAGTTGCGGAGGTGGCTTGGATGGAACTCTCTTCTATCTTGATTGGAGGGAGCTGGCTGGAGTGTCCAGAGGCCCCTCTAGCTCCCTGTTAGCACGTAGAAGGGAAGAATTCCTGTGCATGCTGAGGCCACAGCTTGAGAAGGTTGAAGGGACCACAGTGTCGTGCCCTTGATTGGGGGCGAAGCCTCAGCTTCTTGGTCACCCCAGAGTGGTCGTGCTAAATTCTTTGGGGGCAGCCTCTGGATAGAGTCTAGAGAGGGTGCCGGAGTATGTATGTGCATGTATGTGAGTGAAAGAGTGTACCTGTGGGCAGCACCTTCTTTTAAAGAGGCTAAACACAGATTGCTCCTGAGGGAGGTCCCAGCGCTCAACAGTTTGTCTCCCCCTTTCCAATGCACAGGGAGAGGGTCGCTGCTGGGTGGGGGATGGGTCAGAGCTGGAGGGGGGAGCAGGAAGCTTTGGTGAGCCGGATCTGGCGTGGGGCACCCCCTCTTCTTCACCACCAGTCAAGCGTTACTATGCTGGTCCAGGTGTGATAGAACTTTGCCATTCACGGGGCTCCTTCCTGGCACTTGTGGGTCGTACCTGTCTGATTCTGGGAATGAGGAAAGAAGGAGGTTGCCATATCCTTGGTGAGCTTTGGAGTTACTTTAAAATGTGGGGAATGGGCCGGCCCTGTGGCTCACTCGGGAGAGTGCGGTGCTGATAACACCAAGGCCAAGGGTTCGGATCCCACATAGGGATGGCCGGTTAGCTCACTGGGTGAGCATGGTGCTGACAACACCAAGTCAAGACCCAGTCATCTTTAAAAAAAAAAAAAAAAAGTGGGGAATGTGGGGTTTGTCTGTAGTCTGGGTCCCCAGGGCACCTGTTCTTGGGACTTGGGGCCCTGTCTGTCCTTCTGCCTGTAGAGCGTGGCCCCAAGGCCAGTGAAAGCTTAGGTCCTGGGTCAGTCAAAGGAATGGAGCTGGGTGCTATGTTGGGTCCTGAGCTGGAGGGTCTTGTCTTGGGAGTAGGTTGAGATGGGGAATGACCCTGGGGGGTCCCAGGCCAGGCCTGAGAAGGGTTCTGTAGCTGGAACTCAGCAGGCTTCTTGGCTGGTGTGGTTTGTGGGAAGCTGGAGCACAGAGAGCTGGTTTTCTCCGGGTCTGTAACATAGGCTTGGGAGAGCAGGGCCTGCTCTCCTTGGAGCCAGCCTGCACCTCCCCTTGGTGAAGGGCTGGGGAGATATGGAAGAGGCCCACTCCTGAACTCTGGCTGCTGGGAAACCACTGAGTGCTCCCCTCTCAGAACACTTCCCCTCTACTTCCTCCTCGTCTGTTCCTCTCCGCAGGAGGGAGGTGCTGGGAGCAGGCCTGGCTCACACTCAAGCTGCTGATTGGCCAAAGCCCCCCTACCCCGCCATCCCACCCAGGCCTCAGATTTTCTGGGGCCTCTGAGCCAGTAAGACACAGTGGGAGGTTGTTGCCCTAATCCCTAGAGGGGACTTAGCCAGTTTTGTACCCCAGCCCCACCCCATGTGGGGTGGCGTGTTTGGGGCGTGTCCACCAACAGTGCTGTCAGCTCTGTTAGTCAGCAAGTGGTGAATCCAGGGCAGGAGAGGGCTGGTTGTCCAGCCTGCTCTCTCGCCTGGGGGCTGCATACACTCAGGAGGGCCTGGCCCAGCCCTGTAGATGGGGAACCGGCATGGTGGGGTACTGGAATGATAGAGAGGGGTCTCTGGATCAGGAAAGGGCCCTCTTCCCTTCCCCTGTTCTCAGCCAGCTCCTGAGCAGGCATCACATCCCTGCTGGGCTTTCAGCAGAGATGCTGAACCGATGAGGTGAAGGTTGCCTGAGCCCATTGCTCTGCCGGACCCCGTTAAAGAGCTCAGTTTGTGCTGCTGCTGCTGCTGGTGGGGACGGGGAGGGGGGGTGTTGGGAGAAATGAGTTCTAGCACGGGAAGGAGCAGAGAGAAAGCAAGTGGGTTTATTGAATGGTCCTTGAAGAAAACAGGCATTGGGAGGCCAGCCCGTGGCTCACTCGGGAGAGTGCGGTGCTGATAACACCAAGTCCGCGGGTTCGGATCCTATATAGGGATGGCCGGTTTGCTCACTGGCTGAGCGTGGTGCTGACAACACCAAGCCAAGGGTTGAGATCCCCTTACCGGTCATCTTTTTTTAAAAAAAGAAAGAAAACAGGCATTGGGTCCTAGCCTTTGGAGTCAGTAGTCAGGGCCATTCCTCATGTGTGAAGTGAAGGTGATGTTCCTCCCCTGCCTGTGATGTGGGTCTTGTAAGGATCCAACGGGTGTGAGTGTGAGAAGATACCTAGTGAGCATATGTTGGCACAGTAAGTACAGGGCCTCCGACCAGGTGTCAGGAGCTTCTGTGTGACCCTCAACTAATCACTTTGCCTCTCTGAGCTTCACTGATCTCATCTGTGAAATGAAGGTACTGCCTGCCCTCTAGGAGGTGTTTGGTAAATATTGTTGAAGGCCTTCCACAGAAGCTGTGGTCTGTTGGCGCCCCCTCCTTTCTCCCAAGGTGGTCTGTGAAGTCTTTTGTGGACTGGCCTCTGCCCTCCTCATCTGTGACTCTGGTCTCTTTGGCCCTGTTACTCCTGACCCTTCTTGTTCATCACCTGCCTACCCCCTCAATCTTCCCCAGCACCTTCCATTACCCCAGTGCCTTGCTGGATGTGGAGGGGTAGTTGTGGGGTCTCAGGCTGGTCAGGGGTGTCCCTGTGCACTGATTGGGATAGGGGCAGAGGCTGGGTGAGGGTTGGACAGGAGAAGCTGGGGCCCAGGACCATCGGCCCCGCTGAGACACCCCTTGTGTTCTCTCTGCGTAGAGGAGCAGGAGCGGCTTCGCTTGGAGCGGGAGCAGGAGCAGAAGAAGGCCAGTAGCCTGGCTAGGCTGGCACATGCCCTGCCGGTAGAGGAGCCCCGCATCGAGGCACCACCTCTGCCTCTGTCCCCACCGGCACCCCCACCAGCACCCCCACCACCACTTGCCACCCCCACCCCACTGACTGTCATTCCTATTCCTGTAGTGACCAACTCCCCTCAGCCACTGCCCCCAGCCCCACCACTGCCCCCTGCAGCCCAGCCACTGCCCCTGGCACCTCGTCAGCCGGCCCTGGTCAGCACCCCTGGACTCAGCATTAAGGAGCCTGCCCCCCTGCCCACAAGGCCGCAGGTACCCACCCCTGCTCCACTTCTGCCAGACTCGAAGACTACCGTTCCACCCACTGGCAGCCCCAAGCCTTTGCAGCCCCTACCCACGCCCATCCTGACCATAGCACCACACCCTGGAGTCCAGCCTCACCTGGCCCCCCAGCAACCACCCCCACCCACGCTTGGGACCCTGAAGTTGGCACCAGCTGAAGAAGTCAAATCCAGCGAACAGAAGAAGAGGCCTGGGGGGTGAGTGAGGTGTGGCAGAGTCGGGGCTGGTGGGCTGGAGAGGAGAACCGTCCACCACCTGGGCTGCGTGTGCAAGAGGCATGTCCTGCCTCCCCATCCCAGAAGCGCCTCCTGTATTTGGACACATTCTCACTGTGCCCATCTCTATCCCGGGAATGAATGGCCGTTGCCCTGTGGTGTTCTCAGGCTTCTGTGTTCTCTGACTCCCTCCAAGGCTGGGGTTTATGGCATTTCCAGGCCTCTGGACCGAGTATTGGAGTATGGGCCTCTGAGTGAGGGCTGGGGTTAACCAGCTGCTTGAGTCCCAGGCAGGAGCCCTTGTGTCCTCACCGTCGGACAGGTGGCATGGAGGGTTGCGGGGCTTGTGGATTATGAACATAGATGTACCCTCCAAGGGTGGACGTGACACGGCACAGAGCGAACACCTCCCTTCCATTGCTGCTTTTATAGAGAGAGAATGTTGGAGACAAAAAGTTTGTGGCGTTTGGGGGATGGCGGCGGGGGTCAGGAAGGCCGCCTAATCGGGTCCTCCTCCCTGAGCCTCCTGTCTGTCTGGGTTTCAGGATCGGAACCAGAGAAGTCCACAACAAATTGGAGAAGAACAGGTGTGTGTGCGTGCGTGTGTGACTCTGGGCCCGCCCCGCCCGCTCCCGGGACTCGCCCCGCCCTCGGCCCCCAGCTCCACTTGGGCCTCCCCGCCCCCACCCCCGACCCCGGCGCTGGCTGACGGGCGCTCGCTCCCTCTCCCCA